CTGCTTCCATACTTCCATAGTTCTTTCTTTGGATGTGGATAGCATTTTCCATCACGAGGCCTCTGGAGATGTCTTAGATCCTTGTATTGCTGAGAAGGGTTAAGTTTATCAATATTAGTCATCGTACAATGTGGCTGTTATTGTGTACAACATTCTCTTGGTTCTGCTCACTTCACTCAGCATCAGACCATACAAGTCTTTCCAGGTTTTTCTGAAGTCGACCTGTGGAACACTAATACATTGTTGGTGGAGTTGTGAAATGATCCAACCATTTTGGAGAGCAATTTGGAACTATGCCCAAAGGACTATAAAAATGTGCATACCCTTTGTCCCAGCAATACTACTTCTAGGTCTGTATCCCAAAGAGATCATACAAATGGGAAGAGGACCCACATGTACAAAAATTTTTATAACAGCTCTGTGGTGGCAAAGAATTAGAAATCGAGGAGATGCCCATCAATTGGGAAATGGCTGAACAAGTTGTGCTATATAAATATAATGGAATACTACTGTGCTATAAGAAACGATGAGCAAGTAGACTTCAGAAAAACCTGGAAAGACTCATATGGACTGATGCTGAGTGAACTGAGCAGAACCAGAAGAATGTTGTATACAGTAACAGCCACACTGTACAATAACTAACTTTGATAAGACTTAGCTCTTCTCAGCAATGCAAGGATCTAAGACACCTCCAAAAATCTCATGATGGAAAATGCTATCCACATCCAGAGAAAGTACTATGGAGTTTGAATGCAGACAGAAGCACACTATTTGCTGGGGTTTTTCGGCTTTTTGTTTTGTTTCTTCTTTCTTGTGGTTCCTCCTATTGGTTCTAATTCTTCTTTACAACATGACTAATATGAAAACATGTTTAATAGGAATGTATATGTAGAGCCTATATTAGATCACATGCCATCATGGGGAGGGATGTGGAGAGAGAGGGGGAGAAAATTTAAAATTCATACCTCAAATACTATATAAATGTTGTCTATTGTCACTTTCAGTGCTTCATTCATTGTATTAATTCTCTTTGTGAAAACTCTCAGGGACTTGAGACAGGTCACTTCCTGCCAGCATCAAACCCAATTCCATAAAGTTTTTGCCTAGACCAAAAATCAGCCTTCTACCTAGAATAATTCTAATTACAATGCCTTATAATACTTGACCCAATATACCTTGAGCTAATCTAATAATAACAGTTATGGGAACTAAATTGGTAAAGCTTTATATATATTTCCTAGTACTGTTAATTTAAAGATGAATTATATGCAAAAAATCCCTTCATTGTTTTATCTGGTAAGATGTGTGAGACTCACTATTTGACATGGTTCTAAGTTTAAGTTTGTTTCAGCTCTCCTGGTGACATGGGATAAGTTCTGTAATGCTCAAACCTGAGAGCTGTAACATATCTTTTGATGTTGGCTCCTCCTATCATTGTGAAGCAGAACTCACCAAATGTTGGATTGTTCACTCACTAATCTTCAGAGTTTTAAGTAAGAGGTTTCAGAAAGTTACCACAGGGATAACTGGCCAAGCATTCACAGCATCTTCACTTTTTGTAGATATTAAGTTCTACCTAAATTTGTTCTGTTGTATTAAAGCCATGTATGATTTTCTATGTAAAGTAACATGGAAATGCATTCAATTAAAGTGGTCACCTGACTGATGAGTTTTGTTTCAAGTTTCAAATCACTTATAAAAATAGTGAAGCCTTGTGAAAGAATTTGTGCATTGCTCCACTTAGAAAATTGAATCTCCTCCCCTTTTGCAAACATTCCTTGATGAGAGGGGGGAGAGTTAAGTAGGAATATGTTTACATCTTCAACCAATTTTGTCTTAATAGACTATAATCTGAGAAATATATTTTTTACTTTAAAGGATTAGTAACTTCATTAAATTTTAATAATTGACTTTTTATATCAGGTTCAATTTTAAGCTCTATTTGAGAAAGGGGAGTATTAAAAGAAAAGTGAGAGAAATCATTAACAACCAATGATATGCCAAGATCCAGAGTTCTCCCCTTTTTTCTAAAGTCCTGATTTTAAAAGTTCAATCTCTTGAAGGACATTGCTGATGAAATTGGGCTAACTTTCTTGTTCAGACCCCACTCAGATAGGGTAGCTATTGTGTTCTGTTCAGGCTTGGGTGGGGCATAAATTCTTTGAATAGATTGCCCAAGGCTGGGGTTTACTTAAGAAGTAAATGACTTCATCAAAGTTCAGGTCCAGCCCCTCACAGTAATATTCATTCTCTCATTAGTTGTTAACCAATCAGAGTTGATTCCCACCCACACCTACTCTTCAAAGGGTATATAAACTGTGAGCCCACCAGCCACCACAGTTATCTTTGGTCTAAGAGAAATGATCAAATGACCATTCTTTTATTAATAAATGTGTTGGCCTTATTAATAAAATGATTAAATTACCCAGAAACTGTGTCTCTTGGACCTTTTTAATCATCACAAAAGAATGTTACTCAAAATCTTTTATGTGATTTTTTGAAGGCCTGGTAACTTTTTATTTGCTAGCCAATTTGTTGCAATAGCTTGACAGTGTTGATAACAATTGTATCCAATCCCACTGTGATTAGTGAGACTTTGCTGTCTGAGGTGAAATCTTTTGGGACCATGAATTTTTTTTGAGCTTCCTTTTCAAATTATGTCCTTAAGCCAATGTTTCACTGCCAGCAGCTCAAGGGGGAGTGAGGTCTGTGACCTATGGCCAGTAGATATCTGTCCCTGGGAGAAAGATTGGGAGATCAACCTTAGGAAGGCCAAGGTAGGACTCTTGACTCAGCTTCTCATACAAGAGATCCCCACCTGGTTAATTCTGAGCCTACCCGTAGTGGTCTTATGCTCTTCTCACCTGCAATCAATTGCAAGTAGGGATGTTTTAGTCATTCTGGGCTTTGGCCCAGAGGCTGCTATAGTGGTCCCAGTCTGCTTTTTCTTCTCATAACAAATCTCTCTAACTAGGGCAAGGCCTTCTTCACATAATTACTGTTGCAATACTTTAACACCTCCTGCCGTTTTCAATCTAAGATTCCATACCTTGAACAACCAAGTAAATGGGTATTTGGCTTTGTCATCTGCCTTTTTATAGTTATATATACACATATAAGATAAGGTCCTTAAACTTTTCAAAATGTTATGATGTATTTGTGGGATCAGAATATACATATATTAATTAGTTTGTAATTAGATCCAAAACATCTTTAGTTTTGTTCTAAAGAAAAGGCTTAACCTTAAAGGAGAATAACTTATGGAATATCCTGTGTTACCTCAAAGGGAATTCCAATTTTTTACTTAGGTTTATTATTTAATGTGGGATTAACATGTGTATTTAGAGCATGCTTTGAAATGCAAGCAAATTGCCCAAAGTTTTAAAGAGGATTTGAGAACAGTGGTCTAATATGGTTTAATACCCAATTACTTTAAACATGATTAGTAACTGAACACATTTTACTAAAGACAACTCTTCTGATACAATCTGGAATTATTTACTTACTTTATTTGGGGCACCCCACCATAGCCTTTGTTAAAATAAGCATCTTTGGGGTCAATTCATTTCTGTGCATAGAAGTCATCTACTTATAAAGAGTGTTGTTATTACATCTTTAGCAGCATCTCATCCTCCTAAAGGGGAAATGAGTTGTCCTATTAATGGTTAAAAAGACATTTCAGCTTTCATGCTCCTGGCATTAGAATGTTATGATGGCTCTATGTATTTACTTAGCATTTTTTCATTGATTTGTGCTTGAGCAAGCACATCTGCAAAACATAATACCTTTTGTTAAAAACAAAATTTTAAAGTAATAAGAGCAGAAGAGTATTACTAATTAAGTATCTTAGTTTCTGTTCTTAGAAAACTATGTGTAGGAAAAGTATTTTGTTCCATAATAGGATTTTTGATAGAATTTATTTTATTACTATCTGGTGTTCTTGTTTTAAAGTATTTTAACCTTTTTCCTTCCATTGATATAATTTTGTTTCATTGCCAGGTTTACGAACTTTGGTAACTTGCGTTCTGTTTCTAGCTTTTGTCTATCTACTTTCGACTGAAAGACTAGCTTTTACTGTTTGGGCAGTGTTCTTTATTTCAGGTTGACACAATCTAAAATAGAATTCATTATCTTCCTCACTAAATCTGCTCTTATCCCAAATACTACTATCTCAGTTGATGAGATAATTTCTTCTCAGTCACTCAGTTTCCTAACTCCAGTTATTCTTAACTCTTATCTCTCCATTATAGCTACACCTAACCAGCCATCAAGTCCCATCGCTCCTACCTACACACCCCTGGCATCCATTCCCTTCTCACTGGCATAACTCAAATCCATTTCACCTACCCCCTAGACTATTTTAACAGTGTATCAAATGACCTTTCTGCTTCCAGTAGCTCCCCTTTCTCTAATCCATCTTCCACACAGTTATCAAAATAGTCTTCCTAAGGCACAGGTCAGACCAGGTTGTTCATGCTCAAAAACCTTTAGTAGCTCCGTACCATTCATAATGTAAAATACGAACACTTCAGGACAGCATTAAAAATTCCCTGTCCCTGTTATCTGCTTCAAATCTATTTTTCTAGATTTGTTTCATTATTTCCTCTTCTATCTCAGCCAAACTGGACTATCGTTCTTTGATTTAAGTCCATCTCTTGACTCCATGCATTCACATATTCTATCCTCTATAACCTTCTTCATTTCCACCTCTCAGAATCCTTACCTTTAAGGTAAAATTCAGCTTCCTCTGTGAAGCTTTTCCTGATTCTTTGTCCCATTTTTAGGGCTATCTCCCTCCACAAATTATGTTGTATTTACTTATCTGTATATTGTATATATGTGTAACTTAGTAGAGTATTAAGTTCCTTGATGGGAAGAAAGGCCTCATTTTTATATTTGTATCCCCCGTGCTTTGCATTTAAGAAGTGTCTAATAAATATTTGTTGAAATTAATGCAGTTGCTTCTCATTTAGGGACTCTTTGGTTCATCTTTAACTTACCTCCATCATTATCTTCAAAGCATATCTTTCATCTTCTCGTTTTGCAACAGCTTTTGCTTCAGTCAGTTCTTTTGCTTTTGTTTGTGCTTGTAAAACAGATTTTTCTCTTATTCTTTGCATCATCTCTTTGTCAACTGAAAGATTAGAAATTTTATTAAAATATGAATTTTATTTTATTTTAAATTTTATTTTTGAATTTTATAAATTTTATTTTTATTTTGAAAAAGAATAATATTCAATAATAACAAAGGTATTTTATTAATATATTATCATGTACTTATAAATAAATTTTACATGTAAAAATAAGTATATTTATATATTTTATATAAATAATAAACATTTATTAAGCACCTATTATGTGCCAGGCACCATACTAAGTGCTAGGGATATAAATACAAATAAAAACAAAGACAGTCTTCCCACAAGGAGCTTATAATCAAACGAGGGAAGACAATACAAAAAGGAAGTTGAGAAGAAGGGAGGAGAAGAAGAGAGTATAACAGAGTATTCTAAAGAAGTCTAAAATCAATGTAGCTGCTGGGACAAGTTAAGAAAAATTGTGCTGAGCTCCTTTCTTAAAATAGTAATGTGTATTTGTGTTTTTTGTTTGTTTGTTTGTTTTGCTAGGCAATGGGGTTAAGAGACTTGTCTAGGGTCACATAGCTAGTAAGTGTTATCTGTCTGAGGCCAGATTTCAACTCAGGTCCTCCTGACTGCAGAGCCAGTGTGGTAATGTGTATTTGAAACTGACAGGAATGGTACAAGATAGGTGGGAAGATGGGTGAATAGCAATCTGGGACCCACGGGATCAACAAAGAAAGTTCTAACCTTTTCCTGAAGACTAATGGGACAACTTTTGGAAGCAACCATCAAAAAATACAACTACAATTTTATTCCATTGGTTTGACCTATTAGGAGATATTTTGAAAATCTCTTTTGGAATCTTCCTTTGGAAAGTCCCATTGGCTATATAAATAACAAGAATAAATTTAGGGGACAATAATTATTGTATTATAGTACCAAGTGTTTTAGAGAAAATCACATGCCAATACTCCTTTACCAAAGTACTTCTTGTTTTGCTCAGCTATTGGCTTAGAGACTTAACTTTCCAAAAAGGTTTGTTTATATAAAGTTATGACTATGGTGACTCCAAGTACACCGTTGGTGGCACCTGACACTAGAGTCAGAAGAGTGCCAATCTATATTCTCAGGAATCCTTTAAATATGCCATTTTTCTTGGTTCCAGTTTTTGATATGACAAAATCTAGATTTACATACAGAAAAGAAACAGATTACTATGGAAGACTAGTGTGGGAGCACAATACAGTCAGTTCTCCAGAGAAGGACAGGATATGATGATGACCTGATGTGTTCAAATATTGAGAACTAAGACTTTCACCTCTTCTCCCCCTCCTAGTTTCCCTGGCTTTCTTCAAGTCACAGCTAAAACCTTCTGCAAGCAGCCTTTTCTCAACACCCCTGCCTTCATGATATTATCTCCAATTTATCCTGTATATAACTTCAGTGTTTGTACATAGTTGTTTGAATATCATCTCCCTCCATTAAACTATGAGCTCCCAGAGAGCAAGGATTGTCTTTTGCCTTCTTTGTTTCCCCAGTGCTTGGCACAGTGCCTGCCAAGAGGAGGTACTTAATCAAATGCTACTTGGCTAAGACTAAAAACAAGTAGTCCTCTTATTTCCTCAGAAGAGTAGCAGTCTGGCACAGTGGATAAAGAATCAGCCTTGGAGTCAGGAAGACCTAGGTTAAGACATTTGATAATATATATAAATTGAAGTATGTTACAGGAGGCTGTAACCTACATGGGCATATAGCATTAAGCTACAGTTAGAGAAAAATAAAAAAAATAGATATTTCTCCAAAGGTGTGTTAAAGACTGTTAAGGGGTCCTCTGAACTTGTCTTTTTCAGTTGCCATATTTTGCAGAAACACTGGACCCAGAGCATGCAGGAGGCCCTGAAAGTGTCAAGGATGAAGCCCCACCCATCCTCCCCAAGCTGATATAATTTATTGTTTGCATCCCAAACTGGACTCCCTGTGTGTCCTTGGGAGTCAAGACAGGGGCCAGTTAGTCTGCACTAGACTGGGAAATTGCTTGTGCAGCTGAGACCCAAATCATCCTATCTTCATAGTCTAGACCACAGGTGGGGAACCTGAAGCCTCGAGGCCACATGTGGCTCTCCGAGTCCTCAAGTTTGTGAAGTTTGGATTCAATCAAAGGGCTGCAATTGAGGACCTAGAAGGTCACATGTGGCCTCGAGGCTGCTGGTTCCCCACCCCTCGTCTAGCAGTTCCAAAAGGAAAAGAATTCTAGCCTTGCTCCTCCCCTTCAGGAGGGGTTTTGTCCTTTTCCCACCTTTACTACACCTTTCCCCCTCCCACGCCATGCCCCTTTAGGTGGAGATTTCTGGTATCTCATTCCTTTGTCTTGCTGTTATTATAAAAACGCAAATTTCTGTATAGATTGTGAACTCTTTTTGGGTCCCACATGCATGTTCATTTTTCTTATAACCTAGTTTTCATGTAAGTTTTGTGAAGTTGTGATTGCTGTTGACAGGTGATGAAAATCAAATTAAATCATTACTTACTCTGCATCTATATCCTGAATGAGTAAAGTTAATATAAAAACAACTACTAGTGAACTGATAGTTCAAGGTAAGATTCTTATATTAATAGTAACAACAATCATAATAAATATTGATAAGTATATGAAAGCAGCACAGGGCCAGCCCTAACCAAAATTTTGAAGCAGAAAGTATATGTATTTAAGGAGTTCTCTTACTTTCCTTTCTGTATCTCTTCCTGCATTCCTCATATAAAGAGACAGCATACAGGAATAAAAAGAGCAGTGGAAAATACCTAGGTTCAAGCCTTAGCTGTGATTTGGATAGAAATTATTTCACCTCTAGGAGCCTTGGTTTCCTCATCTTTAAAATAGGAATGCTAATACTTATTCTACTTCCTATGAAGAGATTTTTTAATTTTGACATGATAAATAAATGTTTATAACTATTAATACTTTTTGGTACACTTCTCCAAGATTCCTCTGCAGTGCCCTCATGTTGCCCACTGTAACACCAAACCCAAGCCTGCCCTCTCCGGGTAGTAGCCCATATTTCAAAAATTATTCTACTTTCCCTTCCTACAACCCAAACTCTCATTCCTTTAGTTGTTCAATTGTTTTCAGTCATGTTCGACTCTCTGTGACCCCATCTGAGGTTTTCCTGGCAAAAATACTGGAATGGTTTGCCATTTTCTTCTCCAGTTTATTTTACAGATGAGGAACTGAGGCAAACAGGGTTAAGTGATTCATCTGGGGTCACACAGCTACTAAGTGTCTGAGACCAGATTTGAACTCAGGAAGATTCATCTTCCTGACTACAGACCCAGCACTCCATCCACTGTGCCACTTAGCTTCCTCATTCCTTTAGTACCCTGTTCTTAATTATTAGGCTATCATGGACTACCACTGTGGTTCAATACAGAGCCTTATGGTGACCCTTATAAAACCTTAGCCTAACATATCCTGAACATGCACTAGCCATGCTCAGAGACAAATCTACATTGGGGTTTCTTCTTATGATCCAAGAAGGTATAGTCAAACGCTGGCTTGATCTTATAGACAGACAAGATAAATCAAATTACACTCCAGCACTTTCCCAAACACAAATACTAAACACCAACCGCTTGGACTCTACCACCACAGGCTATTACTTCCAAGAATTTATATCAACTCACATACAAGTATAAGTAAAGACAGACCATTAAGATCACTACTGGTATAGGAATTTTCTGGCTGGATCCTTGACCCTTTTCCAATTTCCTAAGCTGTTAAGTCTACTACTGAGGTATGTTATGATTATTTGGCTTCCTCAAAACTAATCTGACTAAACATTCACCTGTATCAGTTCTTACTCTGAAAGTGACTTTAATAGCCCTGCTCTTAATGACTGGGGTTAGGAAATGACAGGAAACAGCTGTCCCCAGTGGTATAACATTCCTGAGTACAGTACTGGTCCTTTCCAAGCAGTGGAAGAGAATGGCTGCTCCCTCTACACATATACATACCAGTTCTGCCCTTTCAGCAGCAGCTGAATACATTGCTTTATCCCTTCTGCAGCTATTATAGGAATAATCCTCTTCTGCTTTTATCCACACTACCCTTAGTCTTGCTCTCAGTAAATACCACTCCCTTGGTAACTATTCCCTCTGCTCACTGCATTTTAAACAAGAGATATCTTGACTAGCTCGTGTTTGCCGCAGCTTTCTTCTCGCAGCTGCTGCCATAGGGATCAAAGAGAGATGATAAATTCTTGCTAATAAATGAGTAATTTAATTTGTTTAACCATTCCCTTCCCTCCATCCACCCAGCAGGAACATTTTCATTTCAAAAGAAGATGCTTATTAATCTGAAGAACTGAAGCTACCAGGATAGTATGTTGTTGTGATAGACTGATAACAGAGATATACTGGGGTAAGAGAGTCCTTTCTGTAAAGCCAAAATTACAACAGTAAAGGACTGCCTATAGATAAACATAACCCCAAAGAAAGACAAAATGGTTGCCTCAAAACTTTACAAATTAGGACAGAATTTCTAAACCTCACTCTGATAATAACTCAGTCACAAAGAGCCATAAGGTCTCTCCTTTAATTCAAGTTAAGTTCCATTATAAGTGAATAGATGTATTTGGAAATCATTCTCAAGAGAGTCTTTTTGGAAAAGACATCTTAGTCAATATGATTATAAACATCTTAGAAAATTCAAGCTGTATGCCAAAAAGGGTGTACATCTAGCTTCTTCCTAAATGATACCAATATTTTTTTTGGTATCTAGAGTAAGAAATAAGCCTATTTTTCCTTAATTATCATGAAAACTTGGAGCATGGAGAAGACAGTTGGGAAAATTATTCTTCTGATTTGAAAGATCAATATCACCTTCTAAAAGAATTTGGAGTAAGTCTGTAAATAACAATATTTCAAAGGAAAGCATTTTATAGAACAACTTCTTAGAATTAAAAACATGAAAAACCATACCAGATCATGCAGATAAGAATCCAGCATCTTGGCACTCCTCGCTCTGAGACATAAGGATTACCTGACACAGGTATAAGTTACTTGATCTCTTAATGCCCTAGGAATCTATCTAAGACTGAAAGCTGCAGAGAAGGCACCATCCCATACTGGTAGGGGGCAAAACGATTCAATTCCATCCTTGTTTTGCCAGTAACAAAAAAAGTGTTATTTTGTGGAAAGGGGTAGATGCTTTCCATGATATCAATGCCAAAATACCAGAGAAAAACCCAAATACACCTAACTTACCTTAATGGAAACTTTGTGTAGAGAAAGGGATATGGACTAGATTCCTTAAATGGGAATTTAATTTATCTAAATTTTTATTAAATCTATTTTTTGGGTGGGTGAGGGGCTATATCACCTTCTGTGAAAAGACTCAACAGCAACAAAAAACACTGAGTTGTTTTTTAAGCTTCAGAGTTGTATTCTAAAGGCTTAATGACTTGATGAACAAATGTGTATTCATCAAAACCAAAATCTTTATGCTTCCACAGAGTTAAATCTTATTTCCTATCGATCTTCATCTTTCCAGACTAAGGAATACTTTTCCCCCCCTTAAGTTCATCATTCCCTTGATATTTGAATGATCAAATCAGACTTTGTATAGCCTTCATATTATTTCTTGAGGTACAGCAATCAAAATTAAACATGGTACTACAGGTGCTAACAAATTTCCGCAAAGTTAGGATGTTTTCTGATTTGTTTTTATTATCCTTTCTAAAGACGCTCAGAATTTTTGCACAGCAATGGCCCATCTGACATCTCACAAAGTGCTCAGCTTATTTTAATTATAAAGCAAGATGTTATTTTCACCTGGATCCAGAGCTTGCTTCCAAATACTGAAAGTCTATGTACAAAGTTATTTGGACTCTGTTCTTCATTAGTTGCTTTTTAGAACAAGGAAGCCTGTTTGCCTATGCCAGGTATAGCCTATCCTGCAGTTAGAACCATATAGAAATAAAAAACAGCAAAAGGCCTTTTGTGGGAGGTGGGGGGTTGGAACGATATAAACAGAATTATCATACTAGAAGAAACTCTGAGGGTAAAATAGTAGGAATACTTGGTATCACCATAAAAACAAAATTATGTATCTCCTCCCATTGACAATATAAGAGAAGTAAATAAAATCAATCAATTTTTAAGTGCCTACTATGTGCTCCCTAGTAAGTGTTTAATAAATACCATGTAATCAGATAAATGTTGGGAAAAGAAATACAAAAGTGAAAGTCTCTGCCCTCAAAGTTTCTGCTGAGGAATGAGGATAGAGAGGAAGTGGAGATACATGCTTATCTCCATTTCCAAGGAAATTAAGTTGTATACAAAATAAAACCTATGTAGCCAAGAACAGAAAATATGCAGAAAATTGGGGAAAAACTTTCATTGCCAGTCTGTCCGAGGGTGTGATTGGGTTAGAATATTGCTGTGGTATAGGAAATGATGAGCTGGTTGATTTAGAAAAGCTTGGACTTATAAAGGAAGATTCTGTCTTCAGAGAAATAGATGACAGGAGGAAATAAGCATAGTACAGTCTTACATATATGTGTATGAGGGTACATGTGTATGTGTATATGTTTATATATACATATATATACATATATATATACATACACACACACATATATCCATGCTTAATTGTAGCCTTCTTTAGGGTTGGGGGGGGGAAATAAATTAAAAATGCACAACAGAGAACAAAAGAAAACCAACAAGGAAGCAAAGAAAAGCTGGGCAGCTTTGAAAACAATGTGTAATATTTATTATATAGGTTTTCTTGAAATGGAAATTTATTTTTTTATATTGAATCCTCTCTTATGGTCTGCTGTGTACATGGCAATTTTTTCTCCCTTTTCTCATTTTGTATTTCAGTTTAAAATAAAAAAATTTAACCAAAAAATAATAAATACACAATGATGGGGGGAAGGGAGGTTGTCACTAATGACTGGGGGAATTAGAAAAGACCTCTGACGAAGACAGCAGTTGAGTTAAGCCTTGAAGGAAGCCGGCAGTCCCAAGAGATAGAGGCTTTCTAGGCAAAATTGATACCCTGAACAAAAGTGAGAGAAGAAGTGTATGGGTCAAAGTACAAGTCAATCTGGCTAGATGAGAGTTGTGAGCGGAGTTATGTGTGCACAGTCTAGGAACATTGGCTGGTACCAGGTTGGGAAAGACTTAAAACACCAAACAAAGGAATTTGTATTGTATTCTAAAGACAACAGATCTAGTACCATCATTAAGAACCTAATGTTAATGTCAAGGGAAATTAGGTTTTTCTCTGCATTGTGTTGAACCAGAAAGATTTTTAAACATTCCACATGTTCAATGTGTCATATGCATTTATTCATTCAGAACACTATTGTTCTTAGCTGTACTGGTTACAAATGGTTTTCCAATCCTATTTCCTCAATGGGACAATTTTGAGGACAGTGATTACTTCCTCCCTTTGTCCAGAAAGCTTTTTTTTTTAATCTATTAAGCTCTCTTTATCCTTCACTGTGTATCATATTCCCATCTCCATAAGTAGCATTTTTAAAAGTCTTCCCTCTTCTTGTTATGATGCAAAGAAAGGCAAAAAACAGTCCCTGCTCTTAAACAGCTCATAATCTAATAGGGGAAACAGCATACCAATGACTATGTACAAAGAAAATCTGTATTATATATGTAAAATATTTTTGCACATATGTTATATCTACATATGATAAATTGGGGGTAGTCACAGAAGGAAGGCACTAATATTGAAGAGGACTGGAAAAGGCTTCTTCCTGAGGGTGGGACTGAGAAAACTGAGGACTGAGACTTGAGGGAAATTAGGGAAGCTGGCATCTGGTGAAGTATTGTCTGATTTAAGCCTTAATTAAAGACTAGGATCATATACCTTCCTTCTCTGGAAATACTGTGGTTATTTCCAAGAGGAAGAGAGGAAAAAATGGAAAAGGGTAAACGAGTGTTCATTTTGTAATCAGTGACTTACCATTTGCCAAAGAAAGAGCCTCCCACATTCCAATTTCTTTTTTAAACAATGTGAAAACAATGGTATCATTCCCAATTTTGGCTTTGCTGTTAATATCATCTATGGGAGCACAGAGAAATGCTTCAAATAAAAATGGAGGATAATTGACCTATCCAAAAGGGGAAAAAAGAGATAAATTAATATAAATACGTGGTTTAAAACAAGTTACTTTTAGTAATAAAAATAGGAAGACTGAAAATAATAACTGTGATAAAACATACCTAAAATTATTGCAGGCTGTAGAAGATTAAGAACAAACTACTGGTACAGGAGAGGGCAGGAACGAGCATTTAAATACTCCCTACTAAATACTTTTTACAAATATCTAATTTGATTCTTACAACAATTCTGTGAGGTAAGTGCTATTATTATCCCCATTCTACAGATGAAGAAACTGTGGCAGATTAAGTTTATTGTCTTAACCCGGGTCATATAGATAGTTAATGTCTGAGGCCATATTTGAATACAGGTCTTCTTGACTCCAGTCCTACCTCTCTAACCCTTCTATCACTAGCTGCCTCAGCACAGCAGAAAGAGCCCTGGATTTAGTATCAAGAAGCTGAATTCGAATCTAGTTCTTCCACACACTAGCAGTGAGACCTTGGGCAAGTCATTTAACTTCCTCTGAGTCTCAGTTTCCTCATCTACAAAATTAAGGAGATGGTCTAGATGGCCTTTGAGGGTTCCTTCCTTCTAGATCTATGATCTTTGGGCATGTTTTGCTTATTCCTGTTTCTCTTTGAAGCCCTTTCAGTCATGAATCTGATGCTATTTGGTTACAGGTGCTGAATTTGGATCCATTTAAATATCAAAAAGATAAAAAAAAATCAGAACTATAAGGAACCAAATCCCCATATTGCACGATTGCACGTGTGACCAAGGTTGCCCATCGGCTTTAGCCCTAGAACAGGTGACAAGTCACCAAGAAACAGGGAAGAGAGGGCAGGATGGAGCAAGATAGGGCAGAACGGGGCGCCCCACGGGCTCTAGGCGAGGAGCCCACCTTGAGGTAATTTTCCGTGCAGAAGATGTCGGCGTTCCCAGGCCGGACGCCTCGGAGTGGCAAAGAGAGGTACACGACGGACTCGGTCTGCTGCCAGTTGTAGTCCCGTATTTGCAGGGGCGGCATCTTCGGCTGCCGCCCTCAAGGGAAACGTACCAGCAACGCGTTGCTAGCCGCGCTCCCGTCAGTTGCTAAGGAAGTTCAACCTTTCCCAAAGCTCTTCCGGGGCAAGTCGGGCCGGGTCGGTCGTCCTGGGGAAAGGGAAAAGCCGGGGCCTAGGAGGCCAGCATCCTATGATTCGGAGTCCCTTCCCGCCACTCCTCCCCAAACGCACGCTCAGAGCTCGCATTTGTTTTCTTGGCCAGGCCTGTGCCACGTGAGGAGTAGATACTCCACGGAGACCCGGGGTCAAAATGGCTTTTTAAAATTGTTTTGTTTTCTTTTCTTTTTTAAATGAGAGGGCTCACTGCGCAGCCGCGGGGAGGGCGCGGGGCGCCTAATCTGTTGTAAATTTCCGACGGGGGAGAGGGAGGGCGGGCCACGTAGTTGGTGAAGGACTAGGTCTGTGTGGCGACCTGCACGCACCGAGTCTGCGCGGCCTTGCGTCGGCCGCTTCTCCCTTTGAGGGCAGGTTATTACACGTGGTAGCTGGGGGAGGAGGGAGAAAGAAACCTACAACACCTTGCGAGGGAAGCAAAAGCGAGCCCCTGCGTGCCTGCGATCTCTCTCTTGTTCTGGCCATTAATACACATTCCAAACACGGAAATCTTTCAACGGAGCAACCCTAACGGACGTGTTGACCAACATTTTGGAGAATCAATGAATTTTCAGCCTCCATTTCTTCAAATGTAAAATGAAAAAAGTTGGATTGTTAAGGTCTCTTTTAGCAGTAGAATTGTATGATTCTGAGGAGTCAAAAGTTTTTCTAAAGTGTCAAGCCTGGGAAATCCATCAGTTAAAGGTCTGATATTTATTAAAAGGCTTCAGTAGATGGACAGTGGATAGAGCAAGAGTCCGAAGTCCTAAAGACCTGAGTTCAAATCCAGCCTTAGATATTTACTAGCTTTGTGACCCAGGACAAGTTACTTGACCTCTGTCTGCCTGTTTCCCGTTCTGCAAAATGGGGGTTCTACCTTCAAGCATTGTTGTGAGGATAAGATAATGTTTGTAAAATACTTTGCTGACTTTGAAGCACCGAGTCAAAGATGGCTATTGTTGATCTCGTCGTGGTCGTCTCAGCCTTTGCAGAGCTCTGCCTTTCCATAAGTCTTCCATAGGCAATCCAGGACTTCTGGGTCTTTAAATATCCTGTGTGTGCCATAGGAAACACTAATCTGCTTGTCTATTACAAGCCAAGTCCTGACTTCTTTTAAGAACTATTTTCTATTTTCTTTCATAAAACAAAAATCCTACTTCAGTTCTTCATGGTAGCATAGGAGTGATTCTGGGTTTTTCTAAGGCTGTGCCAGCAGAGCCTAGGGACTGGCAAATTCTACCAATGCTTTTGTTTACAATTCCAGCAATAGACTAAGTAGTCTCTCCCTGGCTAGAGTTCAGGGAATCTGTGAACTTGAATTGGAAAAAAAAATAACATCTCTGTTTTCACTAGTATGTAACTAAATTCAGCATTTTCTTTCAGTATGAATGTCGGCAACAAATATTCTGAGAAAGACTGGCAAAGGAATCCATAACAAAGGTTAAGAACCCCTAATCTAGGTAATGAATTCTGTGACCATGACAGTCCCGGTTGGATGTACAATTATATGCTGTTTACAAACAATAAGACACCTACTGCACAGAAGACTTTGCCAAGGAAACACTAGCAATAGAGACAAAAACAATGACACATTTCTTACTGTTGTAACCAGAATTTCCAGCCAAAGCCTGGAGAATTTTGCATGAGGCTCTACTAATTGTTGAGAGAATGCTGACAGTGACCCTGAATGCCTGACTTCATGGGGAATGGAAATGATGTGACAACTTGAGAGAGTAGAGAAATTCTTTCTTCACTCTTCTTTGAGACTATTTTTAGGAACAACACCAAGGAGAAGAAAGAAGACATTTAAGGGGAAGCCAGCTCCTCAGCATGTTCCTGATTTCCACTTTGCATTCCTAGAGACTTTGGGGAAATTCCCCTTAGGTGAGAACAGGACCTCTTTCTTGGTTGAGTAGAGATGTCTTGCTCTCTGAGGGAGAAATTATTTTATTTTCTAGTATAATCAGATCTGTATAGCTTCTCTGTTTTGGTTTTTTGCTTATAGAAATGGATTTACTTGCTATTCACTATTTGTGATGGTCATTTGTGTAATCAGTATTTGACAGGAAGAAACCAAGCTGATGATACTGAGTACCCCTTTCCCCTTAAGAGATAGGAGCCAGAGTGGCAGCTAGGTGGTGCAGTGGATAGAGCACCAGCCCTGGATGCAGGAGTTTGGTTTTTTGCTTATAGAAATGGATTTACTTGCTATTCACTATTTGTGATGGTCATTTGTGTAATCAGTATTTGACAGGAAGAAACCAAGCTGATGATACTGAGTACCCCTTTCCCCTTAAGAGATAGGAGCCAGAGTGGCAGCTAGGTGGTGCAGTGGATAGAGCACCAGCCCTGGATGCAGGAGGACCTGAGTTCAAAATCAGCCTCAAACACATAACATTTACTAGCTGTGTAACCCTGGTCAAGTCGCTGGCTATTGCCCAACAAAAAAAAACAAAACAAAAAAAAGAGATAGGAAGCTTAGAGGTTTTCTTTTCTTAACCAACTCTGCCTCTAAAACAGCAATATTTAGCAAGACATGTAGATATAATTCTATTCTGGTAACCCTTCTTTCAAAGTAGAATAGGGCAGCCAGCTTCATGGGGGGGGGACCCTTGTACCCCACAAAACAAGAATTGCAGTCACCCTAAGAAAGAGGTAGGCAAGATTCCAGAGATATCTCGGTGCTTCTGCTCAAGCCACTTGTCTATATACTTAGATATCCAATTTGAACATACATAACCTACGTGGGGAGCACACACCTTCCACACTCTAGGTGCTTAACATGAACACAAAGTATCCTTACTACAAAGCAGAGTAGAGTAAAGGCAAAAGAGATAGCGGACTAGAGAAAAGTATGATAAGGAAAGAACATGTAAGGGAGCAAGATAGAATTACAAAGCTGGAAGAGATCTTAAAAAATCATCTATCTCAACTGCCTTATTTCATATTCAGGAAACAGATTTGCCTAAGTTCATCTAGGTTATAAAAAGCAGAGCCAGGATTTCTACTCAGGTTTTCTTGACTCCAAATTCAGTACTTTTCCCCCTTCCAGATATTGTTTCTCACTTCACACTACAGTGACTCCCTGGAAGATTTTATAAAAAACAGGCTTGTGCATCTCCACAGTAGACTCCAGCTCTTTTCAAGTGTCTCTACCCTTACCCCAGTTCAAAAAGTCTCACAATTTCCCAATGTAGTTTTTTTATTTGATAACAAATATTTCACTATTAAAACTTTGTCTTAAAAATAATTTTGAGAAGGCTAAATGGAAATGGTGCCTGAGTTGACCCTTAAAGGAAGCAAAGGATTTTTAACAGGTGCAGATGATAACAGAGTGCATTCCAGGCATGGAATATGGCTTGCATACTTAGAGGTGGGGGGTGGCAAGATGATATCATGAATAGTTAGTAGTCCAGTTTGGTAAGAACATAAAGGAACATGAAGGGCAGTAGTGTGAAGCAAGAATGGCAAAGAAGAGTGGAACCAAGTTGTGGAGAAATTTAAAAGCTAGACTGAATTTTAAAATTTGTCTTATTGGCCACAGGGGATCTCTTTTGGGCTACGGAAATATACCATTCTTCCATTTTCGTATTAAGAGTGGAAGAATAATACCGAAGGACTAGAGATAGATGAACAAGCCAATTTTCAAAAAAAAAAAAAAGAGGAGGGGAATAATGTGGCATCTTCAAATGATTGACTAATTCCAGACAAAATTGTAGATTATTATTAAAGGGATAGTTTCTGAGAATTTACAAAGGAAAGCTGTGATTGCTAAGAACAGGCATAGTGTGATCAAGAACATGTAAAACAGACTCATCTCATTTATGTTTTTGATAGAGTTCCTAAATTAGTTAATCAGGGGAAATCCGTAGGCATAATCTAGAATTCATTAGACAAAGAAACTCCTTATGAGTATTTTGATGGTACTGGTGGGTTGACAGAGAAGTGGCTGAATGACTAGACTGAAGAGTAGTAAGTGATGCCAAAGTAGAAGGTTTCTAGGAGAGAGCCTCAGGGATCTGTCCTTGATTCTATTCTGTTAGAGCATTTTTATTAGTAATTTGGATAAAGGAATACATAATTTACTCATCAAATTTACAGACAGCCCAAACCTGGGAAAGATAACTAATGTGCTACACAACAGTCAGGATCCAAAATTATCTCAGTAGGCTCCAACTAATGATCAAATGTAATGAAATTGATAGGGATGAATGTAAATTCCTACATATTTTTTTCCAAAAATCAACTTCAGAAGCATGGGATTGAGGAGGCATGGCTAGGTAACAGTTATGAAAAAGATTTGGAGGTTTTAGTGCAATGCAAGCTCAATTTGAATTATCAGTGTGATATGGAAGTCAAGAGAGTTAATGGGATCATGGGCTTCATTAATAAAGGCATAGTATTCTCATAGATAAATGAACAAAACATATGAACAAGCAGTTCTTAAAAAAAGAAAGACTGCCAACAACCATATAAAATGCTCCAAATTACTAAGAAAGAGAAATACTCATTTAAAACAAATCTGAATTTCTACCTCACACCTATCAGTCTGGTAAAGATAGTAAAAACCCAAAAACTTCTATGTTAGAGATCTTCAATAAAAGCTGGATGATCACTAGACAAGCAGATGGGATTCTTGTTCAGGTACTCATTAATGCCACTAAAATCTCTTCCATCTCCAAAACTGTATGACTCTGAAGAAATTATTTTTAATCTACAGATAAGGAGTTCATGTCCAAACAAAGTATGGAGAAGACCTCTTAAGATAAAATGGGTAATTTTATCAAATAAAATTTAAAAACTTTTGCATAAGTAAAACCAATGAAGCTAAAATTAGAAGGGAAACAGTTAACTAGGAAAAAATATTTGCATCAATTTTCCCCAAGGTCTCATATCCAAAATATATAACAAACTGATTCAAATTTATAAGAAAAGATGTTATTCCCCAATTGATAAGTAATTGAAGAATATGAACAGGCATTTTTCAAAAGGAAGAAATTGAAGCTGTTAATAGCTATATGAAAAAATGTTCCAAGTCACTAATAATTAGAGAAATGCAAATTAAAACAACTCTGAGGTTCTACCTCATGCCCATTAGATTGGCAAAATTGACACAAAAGGAAAATGACAAATATTGGAAGGGCTTCAGGAAAACAAAGCACATTAATGAACTGTTGGTGGAGATGTGAACTGGTCCAACCTTTCTAG